CTATGATAAAAATAAGAAAAAAAAAAAAAAAAAGAATTAAAATAAGTAAGTGCCTTTGCCTATTTTTAATTATTTTTTGGCATTGACAAATACCCTGAAAATTTACAGATATGTATATTGCATTATCAATAACTCATTAATGTTTTTTCAAAAAATAATATTTTTTTTTAGGCCCCGAAATAAAGTGAAAACAAAAAGTTAAAAGTGAAAAAAAACAAAATAGTGAGTGGGCGAGCACGTTTTGACACCCTCATCTTTGACGATTTTTAATGTTTTGTTGGCTTCGCAGAATGGCTTCAAAATTTATAGGCGTGAAGGTTACATCATACAGAACTCAGAAAAAAACAATTCAAAAAAAAATACTTATTTTTAAGCCCCGAAATGTTTTTGGAGGGGGCCGAACCTTGAGGTGTTCGACCTCCGGGGGCCAGCCTAGGGGCCCCCGAACGTTCAGGCAGGTCACCCTGTATATATATATATATATATATATATCGTCACAAATAGAACTGCCTGGTAAACCGTAGACAGACAGAGAGAAGAGAATAACAAACGAGGGGCTGTGACAAACTGTTTCGTCGGAGTATCACCGACTCATCAGGAGGCTGTATATATATATATATATATATATATATATATATACAGGGTTACCATCCCGTACGTACGGAGGCACCCGAGCGGACCTCCGTACGTTCGCGCGTTCGGGGTCCCGTACGGGGTCCGAACCCGACGGTGTTCGGCCCCTGCCAAAAAATATTTCGGGGCCTAAAGATATATTTTTTTTTATGAATTTGTTATTCTGAGTTTTCTATGACGTAAGGTACATGCCTATAAATTTTCAAGTCATTTGGCTGCGCCAAATAATAATTACAAATCGCCAAACATGGCGGTGTCAAAACGTGCTCGCCCACGTTTTCTTTCACTTTTTACTTTTTGTTTTCACTTTAGTTCGGGGTCTAAATAATTTTATTATTTTTTGAAACTTTTTTAGTGGGTTTTGTATTATGTGAAGTACACAATACTACACATCTTTAAATTTTCATGGCATTTAGCTTTGGCAAAAAAAAAAAAAAAATCCCCAAACATGGCAGTGTCGAAAACATGCTCGCACACTAACTAAATTTAATTATCTTTTTATTTTTATTTATTTTTATTATTAGTATGTGTTCTGTGTATTTGATTTTTATTTCAAATTTGGTAAGGAATTTGGACGTAATGCTCGGGGAAATCTTGTTTAACTTATTTTTCTCCAGAACA